TGTGAAATGTGAGGGATGAAAAAAATCATTTTATAAAATATGAGGGACGAAAAAATTTGTTTTATAAAATATGGAGGACTATAGATCAGATTATGTAAAATATAATTTGACAAATTTACCCTTAAAAAATGATCACGTACAAGGCACGTAATGGATTTCGGCCAAAAAATGATCGGAAAACCTAATTAGGGACTAAATTTGACCGATGTGAATATGTAAGGGACATAAAATTACACTTTTAAAAGTGAGGAACGAAAAAAGTCATTTTACAAAATGTGAAGGACGTTTTGGGCGATTTTTCCAAAAAATAATAAATGAATATATGTATGTATATAATTATATATAATATTTAATTTAATTAGTTATAAATTTATAATAATGATATTATTAATTATATGTATTATATAATGGATATTAGTATATGTAATTTAATTGATATTATCAATTATACTAATAATTATATATGTCTACTAATAGAAATTATTAATTAGTTATATTAAATTAACTAATACATTTATACTAAATTTCTAATTACACATAACACAATAACACTTTTTTCCTCAGAAAAAAACACAATAATGATTTAATAATTATATTTGTGTCAGAAGTGAAAAATTGATCACTTTAGTTATATTTATTTGATGATATTAGGTTGTATTCAAACAACTCTTATTTGATTGTTTTTATGAGTTTCAATTATAAAAATACAATAGGATGATAATTTGGTGATGTGTTGATATTTTAGTACTTGATTGTTTGTTAAAATTTGACTATAAAAAATTATATGACAACTTTTTATTAGCTCCCCTACAGTCGGGGGAAGCGAGGCGTCCCTCTCCCGCTCAAATCCCGCTCCGTTGCCATCCCTGACCAAAAAGGCCCCCCGGAATAACGTCCTTAGTAGCAATAACGGCGCTGCTTTCAGTGAAAGGTGTAATCTGTTTTCTGGTTGCCTGCTTGCAAAATTCCATAAAAGTGGTTAGTCCAATCCAGGAAAAAAATAAAAAGAAAAAAAGGAAATGCAAGCTACAACGGATTTAAGTACATTTAGAAATATTAAAGTTGGGCGAGACAAACACGTAAGATGCGTAGGAACGGCAATTATTCAATAGTCTCGAGCCCAGTCGACCGCTCTCTCAAGGTCGACATTCAATCTGCATATCCATTTTAATAACAATTCTGACGTACCTTGTCATCTTTATTTTAGGTTAACATTATGCTTATGAATTATGATGCATGGCTGCTTAGCTCACCAGAGATGCCGATGTTGACTTTCTTCTTCGAGTCATCTTTTTTTCGAATTAGGGTAGCATCATGATTTGTCGCAAGTAACAATTGTTCCTGAAGGTTAAGCATCATGATTACATGATGTTCACAAAAAATTATTTGAGGTTTACATTATATTTAAAGTGATTCATAAAACCGAACAAAAGATTTTCAGGAGTCGCCTGAATTGTTGTTATATTCAAGAATTTTTGTTAAAAAAAAAATATTATAATAATTTAATATATATAAAATAAAAAAGTGTTTGAAAAATATGAAAAAAAAAGTAAAAATTTTCTACGAGATATGGAAGGATCAACAGATTTACAAGGTTAGGAGCTACTCTGGAGGTCGCACGCAGTTGCTGCAGCTAAATCAGACCAAGCAGGATGTGAATGCGCTCTGTCTTTTGTCTTGGGCAGGATGTAAATCTTTTGTCAGCGTCAGTGGCCTTAATGTATGGTGTGGAAGCTTTGTCACCAGTGTATAATTGTTGCCAGGCTGTGGAAAGACAAAGTCAACAGTTGAATTTCAGTATCGAGAGAGTCAAGTGAAACCGAAGGTAGAGGTGTTTCATTTTGTTTTCTATTGATTTGTACAAGAATCCGGTGACGACCAGTTACTAATTAAAGATATGTATGTACCATGTAATCTTCTTATTTTTCAACTGTCCTTCCAGTCAGGTACTCCGAATTTGGATCTTCCTGTCCATTTATTTATTCTGTATATCTTTCTTTTTTTTTTCCCCCCCTCTCGGATGGGTTGGCACTTTGTGTTTTCTGTTTCCTTTCTTCCCAACCCATGTGCCCGCATCCAATAAACTAAAATAATTACCGCAATGGATGCGGATTGCTTTGACTTGTGCCATCATTTAAAAGATCTGATCTGCATCTGCTCTTTTGAGTTAATTGGGTTGCAACTAAAATTTTTGGGTCATTTTCTCTAAAAGATTGGTCGACAGAAATAACGACTGAAATAAACTGCTAGTAAGTGCAGGAATGCCAACCATTACAATCAGATGGTCCATAAAGGGACTCCAAGTGGCTCAAATCCGGAAACTTTTGCTTTCAATGGTGTGAATTCCAAATTGGAGCACCGCGATGGACATTTTTTTCTCCCTTTGGAGTACAAAATTGGTCCCCTACGATGCACTTCGTCGTGCTCCAGAACAAATACTCCGTGGCGTGCTCTACAAAAAAAAAAAAAAAAGAAAACACGTGGCGGTTCCAACATTCAAGAGGCGGAGTGAACTGATTAAGAAGACGATGATGATGATGGTGATGGTGATGGTGATAATAATAATAATAATAAAAACTGTCAAATAACAGCCATTATTATTATTATTCTCGTCATTATGTTCGTCTGGTTCGATAGTCATAAATCTTTTTAGAATTCTTTTATCACATCATCATCGTTAGATTTAGGATACGAATTTTGAATCTGGGCCGTCTTAATTCGTAAGTGTCATTTCAAGCATAAATTGGCTAAATTAATTTGCACTAATTTAATGCTAATTTAATGAATAGAATGGGTTTTTTTAAAAAAAAAAAAAAAAAAAAAAGAGGCCATGATGATGGCTCCAAAGAATCTAAGCCACGGTAACTAGAAGTGTAGGCACACTAACACAGAGCAACATGGTGGTGTTTATCTCGACTCTTGATCCGTTCGCATGAGCAATTCGGCATTCTTAGCAAGCTCTTACGTTATCTGCGCATCATCCATCGGCTGCCCTTTCCACTAAATAAAACCCAAGGCGCAAACGGACAAAAGCCACCCCCGCTTTATGCGTTAATACTCCCTCCTTTTTTTTTTATAACTGACGTTCAAGATTTTGCACACCAATTAAGAAAAATTTTTTATTGCTTAAATCTTTACACTATTTTCCTTTTGTACCCTCATTAATTGTCCAATTCACCCATATTTTCTCTCACTAGAATACTAAATGATGCTGTTTTACTAGGTCAAAGCAATAATTACTAAGAGTAGTAATTAAGAACCCTGTATTGAAAAAGAGAGATAAAAGGGTAAAATTGTGAAAAAATAATTAATACTGTATGAGATAATAAAATGACAGATAAAAGTACATTAGAGCAAATTTCTTAAACGTCAGTTATAAAAAAAGGGAGGGAGTAATAATAAATGTTGATTATTCCAGCAGCTTTAAAAACTTTTCAAATATTTGGATTAAAAGACATACCATCAGATTAGTGTTCAATAAACTTGGCGCAGCCAATTTCGAGGCCGGCGGTAGGAAAGGATACCGCATAAAATCCACTCCCATAATAAATTACGTACTTGTAATTAAGCTAATCTTTTACCAATCAACCCTTAATACGCAAAAATGAATCAGAACAGCACGACTGCAGTGTCATCCACCACTGACTGTTATGCTGATCCAACGGCTGGTGCTCTTTGAATTAATGCACATTTGTCCTATTAATTGTGCGAGAGACTAAAAGAATCCAACCGCCTGACCATCAGCGTTCAATTAAGAGATAGACACCGAAAGGCACAAAAAGCTGGTGTCCTGAATTAAGCTTTGCAGTTTTAGTCCCCTGAATTTTCAGGCAGTTTCGTCTTAGTCTCATATGTTTAAGCTTTAATCTTTGATCACCCCGTCCAAAATTGGTCAATAACTTCACCCATTTGAACCTATGTTTTCAGAATCGGACCGGATAGCGACTCGGCCAAGGTCAGGGGTCAGGGGTCAATGGGTTCGACCGGGGGTCGATAGGGGTCGAACCGGATGACGTCATAAATAAAAATTATTTAAAAATTAAAATATTATATATATCATATCTAATAATATATTGATATTAATAAAGGTATATTCATATATATTTGATGTTTCAAATATATTTAACAAGAAAATACAAAGAAATTAGAATAATCAAGTAGCAATTTATATTATTTAATAAATATTAACAAGTTTAGAATTAAAATTATGAATTTAATTGAAAAATAACATCAAATTGTAGGACAATATTTATAAAGTATCAAATATTTGAGGTATACGAATAAGTTTTAACAATTTAGGGGGCCAAAACATAATATTATAAAGTTTGATTTTTTTTTTTAAAAATCACTGTTGAACCGGAAAAACCGGTTTTTTCCCGGTCAAACCCGGTCAAACCCGGATTTTGACCGGCTTTGACCGAGTTTTAAAATTTCCGGTTTTCTAAGTTGACTCGGACTGGCTACCTGGCCGGTTCCCGGTTCGATTGGTTCGATCGGCCGGTCCGGTCCGAGTTTGAAAACAGAGATTTGAACCCTTTTGGTGCTATTACTCGTTATTGGAAACAATCTCAATTGTATTTAACCAGCATTTAGTTAAGAGCTAAGGGGCTAGAACAAATTTAAGAGGATGGTTGAAGTGTGATTAGGGTTGAGATTTCAAGAATTAAATGTTTTGGATTTAAATTTCCTTAATTCTTATCCATCTTCTACTAAAAATAAATAAAATAAAACGGGATAGGGTACAAAATATTACGGGTGAGATACGTGAACGAATTTGTTACCTTAGATGAATTGATGATTTACTTAATTCGATATGAATTGATTCAAAGTTAAATCTTATTGAAATTTTAACATTTGTAATTGACGTGCTTAGGCACCCATGCTATTAGTTTGCATCGGTGGTTGCTTTGTAGCCGAGCAATGCGAAAGGTGAAACTTGAGTGGAATTAAATTGAGAACATTTATAGAGAGAGGACCAAAGGTGAAACTTTGCTGCCGGTCCTGTCTTCCACCGCGCTTCATCAGAGTTGAGTAGTCGAGTCCACTTCTCTTTAATGTGTGTACGTGTACAAGTTGCAGAGTAGTAGCTGACGATAACCCAAGGACTTGTAGTACGAAAAGTCAACTATTTTGGCCTTCGGGAAGGTCTGGAAATAGCTTCTCGTGAAGCCAACCGAACAAAGATGTAAAATATTCAACAGGATTCTTCATCTGCCTTCATTGATAGTAGGAAAAATCTTTTGAGCATGTTCACACCTTTTTGTCTGATGAATTTCATTTTCAGTTTTCTGCGGTCACGCCCATAAAGGGATTTTTGAAGATTCATCAGCGCAGAACTTTCTGCAAATTTTTCTGGGAGAAGAAGAAAAGGTTCGCAAGAAGGATCAGAGTTTTGGAAAGGTTGTTGTTAATAATTTATGGGCTCTTGCTTCAGTGCTCGGATTAAGGCCGAGAGTCCTCTGCATGCTGGTAATTCAATACATGCAACTGTTCTCATTTGTTATTTCAAGACTCAATTTTTGGAAATGTTTTCCGGAAATTTTAATTAGTTGTTCCACCTTGTTGCTTGGCCTTCTTTAGCAAACATATGCTGCTTGCTTTGGCACAGGTTGGAATATAATCTATGCATACTAGTTTCATAGGTCCTCCAAGTAGGATTGCTATACTGTATTTGATCAATAGTTCTCTTTTTGGATAGACCCCTTTGGTTCCGTTCCTTTGCAAAGAAAAAGAGATAAACGTTCTAGAATGTCATGTTCTCTTTGTCTGGAAAACTTTACATGGAAACCGGTGATATGGGTGATAGCTAGTTTGATATCTCAACAATTCATTTGCAACTTATGATATTGTGGTCGTTCTGCTACTAAAATCAAAATCTGATAGACCAAATTGGATCGTCTCGGACCTTCCATAGTTGTCTTTACAAATCACCGGTCTGAATCATGGCTTTGAAGTATGAAGATGATATAAGGCTGCTCAGTCAACACCTTTGGCTCATCACGAATAAACCAAACCAGATGAAAGAAGTGGCTAGACTACAAGAGTAATGACCTGAAATTAAAGGGCACTTAATTAATGTTTCTGAGCATACATAGAAATCTTCAATTGTTTTATGAATGTTAACAGGAATCATATGCAAAGCAATATCAGGCCTTTTGCTTCAACAAAAAGCAAATCACCTAGACATGCATTTTTAATGCTGTTCCATCCTTTTTTTTTCCTTCGAGGATTAGACGCTCTTGATGTAAAGGAAATTAGGTTGTAGGATGTTCAGTTGAAGCCCAATAAATTAACTTAATTTGTTTGCAGGAGCAAACTCAAGATATGTCAGCAGTGATGGAAGAGACTCAAGCAGCAGGCTCTCATCTGCCTCAGTACCACAGACCCCTCGCAGTGAGAGTGAAATTTTGGAATCATCAAATCTGAGGAGTTTTGGGTTTAATGATCTAAAAACAGCCACTAGGAACTTCCGCCCAGATAGCGTGTTGGGAGAAGGCGGATTTGGTTGTGTTTTTAAGGGGTGGGTTGATCAGCATAGCTGTAAGGCTGCTAAGCCAGGAACTGGATTGGTTATTGCTGTGAAGAGACTGAACCAAGAAGGTCTACAGGGCCACAAGGAATGGTTGGTGAGTATATGACTTCACCTGTTATTTACAGAATTCATACCAGTGTTATTAAATAATGCAAAAAGTACTGACATATATCACACGTGGTCAAAACTTGTAATTGTCATATTCTGAAATCTCTTAGCTATGCTGATAATTTTGTTTCTTCACCTGAATCACAGACAGAAATCAATTATCTTGGACAGCTACATCATCCTAATCTTGTGAAATTGGTTGGATACTGCTTAGAAGATGAACAGAGACTTTTGGTTTACGAATTCATGCCCAGGGGGAGCTTGGAAAATCATCTTTTCAGGAGTGAGTTCTTGAACTCTGTAGCAAGTCTACCATCTTCCAACACAATGCACTTCCAATTATCACAATGACATAATGTCTTGTGTATATTTTCAACAGGGAGCTCTTACTTCCAACCACCATCTTGGAACCTCCGAATGAAGGTTGCTTATGGCGCTGCAAAGGGGCTAGCATATCTTCACAGCCCAGAAGCCAAAGTTATATACCGTGATTTTAAGTCCTCAAATATCTTGCTTGATTCGGTATGTATGTAACTCAAGTTTCCAATTGTTGAATGTCTTACTCTTTGGATTTCTGCTTTACTTGTGTCTCACTGTCACTTATGCATCTTGTTGATGAACTGAATCCTGACAGAATTATAATGCAAAACTCTCTGATTTTGGGCTCGCAAAGGATGGGCCAATGGATGGTAAAAGCCATGTGTCTACACGAGTCATGGGGACCTATGGTTATGCTGCTCCAGAGTACATGGTCACAGGTATTACATCTTGTTAAAGTGCTCATAATATTGGAAGCTTCTCAGGATTCTGCTGCCTGCTTTTCTTATTATATTGTTTCTTTGGTGTCCGATGTTGTATACTGTTCAGCTTAGTAAGGTTGCACGTTTCTGATTGTTGCGATTTCTTACTCAGGCCAAGAGCTAGTAATGAGAATTAGGATTCATTTTCAAACAATAAAAAGAATAGGAATTATATTCTTTTCATAGCCTGCCCGAAATCTTTTTCCTCTTTCCGTTTATACATGTAGCTAGGCTAAAACGTCTATCAGGAATCACGATATCATTTATAGCTGCATCCAATTCTTGTAGGAAATTATATTCTCAGTTGAATGAGCCATTCTTAGTAATGAACAAAATAAAAACGGAAAAGAATGAGAAGTCATTTTTTCCTCCGTATTTCTCATGGATGTATGTGTTGGAGTCAAGCACTATTTAAGCATTCAATCTGGTCGCCAGCTAATTCCTCTTCTTTATATATCCATACAATTATACAAAAGTTAAAAGTAGAACCGTTCGATTAATTTTGAAGGTTGACATTCGCGCTGTCTTCGCGTCAACCATGTAATTACCAGCAAACAGCTTAGCAATTAGCCGCAGCTTTCCTTTCATCAAAGTAAACGATGCATGTGGGAGCTGAGTACAAAATATGGAGCGCTTTGTCATTCGTACGCGAAGAAAAAGAAGTCGTTGACTTGTTTGGTGATCATTAAGTCAGAGTCAACTCCTGCACGGCGATGATAGATAGCATTATATTATAGTAGTCCAGTAGTATAAATTAAGAGAATGGTTTACATAACAGGAGTATATGGATTGATACCAGCTGTCTAAGTTGTAAAAGTTTGATACTACTCCTATATGTATTAGTTTCCCTAGCAATACTACCACAATTCCACCAACTTATATAGTCCATCAGCACGAGAAAGCCACCTTGGCCAGGAAGACTGAACAAATATGGCTCCTCCACCTTCCACCGCGGTTTCTCCGATAGTGAGCCTGTTGGTGAGGATTTTAACGTTCGTCTGCCTGCTCATATCCGTTATCATCCTCATAACCAACACTTACACCGAAAGATCGGATTATGGTGATGTCAAAACCAAGTTCACCGATTTCCATGCCTACCGGTAATTGTCATGAACTCCACCTCTAGTCACGGTAGTAATTTTAAGTTCGGAAATGTTTACAAGTTATAACCATGAATGATATTCATAGAAATGACTAATCATTATTTAAAAAACCATCATGTGACTATTAATTATTTATATACTTTGGTTTGTAAAATATGTTTCTTGGCTAGTTAGTGGGATTTCAGCTTCTTCAAACTTATTCTCGAGTTCTGCAGGTACCTGCTGGGTGCCATTGTTATTGGACTTGCATATACTCTTTTCCAAACTGCACTAACCATCTTCCTGGTAAGCACTGGAAATCGCATCGGCGGCGACGGGATGCTTCAGTTGGACTTCTATGGTGACAAGGTATATGACCTTCTCTTCCCTTTATATTCCACTTTTGTTCCCACTTCTCATTCAATGCACAAACAAAATTATGTATTATTGGTTTACCTAAATATAAATCAATGACTCCATTTGGAGTAAAGATTATTTACTGTAATAACTTTTGTGATTTGACGTGTATGACATAAGATAGATGATTGAGAAAAAAAAAAAAAAAGTGGAAAGAAAGTAGGCCTAATACTTGAACAAAGGGTTAGCAAGTAGCTGTAAGCGGATTGATTCCAAGAAGTTAACTGATTTTATGGATCTTTCTATTACTTCTGATTTTAATTACATACAATTTTGGCACATAACATTTTTTTAGAGCATATTAGGAGGACTTCATAAGCATACTATTACAGTTAGCCTGAATTGATATTACATGTTCCCGTTCTTTCTTAGCTTTCAGGTTTCGAAAATACTTTGCTCAAAAGGGTTCGAAAATATGGTCCAATGGTGGAGCCAGAAAAAATTCTCAGTGGAGACAAAAACAACATTAAAATTTTTTACCTACTCTTTTTCTAGTTTTTTAAGCAAAAAAAAAAAAAATTCACCAATAAGTTGAAATGAAAAAGCTTTTTTCAGTTTACTTTAAATGAAATTTTATAGCCCACATATTCTTTTAAAATTTTTAACTTATGAACTAATTTAGAGGACCACGTAATTTTTTTTACATCCTTCCTAAAAAAATTCAAGAGACACACTTGATATTATATCAAAATTTTATAGGTACTATAAGAATTTAAGGGGCCCTCACCTTAAATCCACCACTGATATGGCCATATTTTCCTAAACAAAATCGTGAATCGAACATGTGAAATTGATTGACTAATTAACCAATTCAATTAAGAAACATCGCTGACTTGTTAACGGTTGACTGGTCCAATACGCGTATGCTTCCCTGCTTTTTCTTTTAACAGCCATGGCCATTAAAAGAAAGTCTAGATCAAGATGTGAACTCCAGGACAATATAAAATGAACATTATTCTAATTATAAACTGCATAATAACTATATAAATTGGCTTTCCAGGTTATATCATACGTACTTGCAACGGGCGCTGCAGCGAGTTTCGGTATGACCCAAGATTTTAAGAGACTTGTAGATCGGAGTGATTCTGGGGTTGATAAATTCTTAAGCAAGGCTGATGCAGCCACCAGCCTTTGTCTACTAGGATTCTTGTTCGCTGCAATATCGTCAATTTTCTCAGCTTTCTCTCTCCCTAAGAGAGCTTAATCATTCCAGGGATCGAATCCCGCAGAATTTGGGATTAAATATTTTGCAGTACTATTTCCCCTTTCCACCAAGTTATTGTATCTCACGGTTGCAAATTAATGTGCATGAAAAATTAATAGCAATCGGTTTTTTTCTGTTTTTTTTTTTATTGACTCTCATTTTAGTGAACTCGATTAAATGTTTCGGCTGACTGAGAACCGAAAAAGAAGCTTTTACTAGCCTTGTGGAAGAATAGTCACACATTTATATTTTGACATCTTGCAGCAAGACTGTCAGAAATTACATGAAAATGGAGGAACGCAGATAATCAAAGTTATAATTTGTACAAACCGGTGGAATATTTTACAGACTCAAATTAATGACGCAACATCAATTCAAGCCAAAATATCTTTGTTTAAGAAAAGAAATGATTAGCAAGCTGAATAGGTGCGCCAATTGCTGGAGTTTGGCCATGTGCTCGTTATTCTTGAAGCTACGTCATAATATGTATGCGCAGTAGTATTTTAGCATCAGATGATGTTGCAGCCACTTGAAAGGTTATCATCGCTGAAAGGGCTAAAGTACGAATAGCCCATTGAAGCTGGTGGCGGCGGTGGAGGCGGGGTATCATAAGTAGTCCCCAGAGGCGGGGCTGATGGACTACAACCAGGACACGGTGGTTGCGGAGCCGGTGGAGGTACAGATCCACATGCATGTGGCGGCCAGTAGGAATTTCCGTCACAACTGTGCACAGGGCAAACATATGAAGCAATGGGATAACCAGCCGCATGATTTCCACAGCATCCGCCAATTCCATTTCCGTGCACATTCCTATGCACACCACCATGATTATGGCCACCGCAACACGACGCAGAAGCCTCACAAAAAATCCCACTACCCTGGTCCCGAGCAGTAACTTCCACATTTTTGTCACTTAAATCGTCTTTTTCACCCTTGAAGCTCAACTTAATGGTCTTGGAATAGGTTACCTGAATATTTTTCAACCCTTGGATTCCTGACAGTCGCTCCAATTGGGCTACCACATTCGGGTCATTAAATCGTTCATCAAACACTTTCGATTCCGCTATAATTTCTAAATTCTGGCCATCTAGCTTTGAAGAAGTAGAGGAAGCAGAAGGGCTTTGCTCCCACAAAAGCTCCGCCTTTCTGCCTACTCCCTTTTCAAGCAACATCAAGATTGTGGAAGGCGCCACATTGCCTGAGATAGCAACAGTTCCTTGCTTTGCGTCTATGCTAACAGAATGAACACCCGGAGCTCTTAGCAGCATCCTCTTCAGCTTATTCTCGCATTTCGAGCAGTGAATTTTAAGCTTGAGAATGAAGTTGCTTGGTGCAACCAAGGGCAGAGAGTAAGCCATTGACCGAAATATGGAACAAATTTGTTTGGGTTATAGCTGCGTTCTGTATAAAATTAAAGGGCAATCGGACATAAGGTACAGCAAGTATAAATTAAGATTAACGCGCAAGCATTGATCATTATTCTGCCCTAGCTCCCACAGAAAATACACAACAAGAGGACTAATCAGGTAGCGACTAGGTACAACAGTACCACTTCTAGATATTTGCATGAGGTTTGTATTAGAATACGTCCGCGTTATTATTCAATCCACCAACTGCTGTTGAATATATTTGAACAAACAGAAGTTTTCATCTACTTTACTTTTGAATTGTTAGGTAGACTATATTAGGACACAAAACGCATATTAGTGGTTTTCACAAAAATTTATAACAATACAGTTGAACAGCATATAAGCTCTAATAAATTACTTTCATAGTAAGAACCAACGACTTCATATTTAGCGCTTGAGGACCTCGGTCTCTTCTTTAACTACCCTAAAATTTATTATTACCTTTACTTTGCAAGACTAGCATTCCAGCAATTCAAGAGTAAAGAAAGACCTAGGAAAGTCTGTGTCCTTTCAATCATACAACATAGAAAAAAAAATCCCACATGCTTAGGGAAAGCAAAAGAGAACACCTTACCATGTTTGTAACAATTTTAATAGCAAAATCATATATAGATTGCCAATTTATTTTAAAGAAAAAAATATGTACAGATTCAATATCTTTTATTCTAACTGATATTCTTTAAGATATTGTGCTCCATTACGTCAAAATATATTCAGGATGTAGATTATAGTGTGCATATATGTTTATGTTCCTTAAATTTGAACCAAAACAGCAAAAAAAGAAAAAAAAGACAATCAAAGAATTGTCAGGGTTCAGTTTTTTGATAGAAGCGTTGACAATATTAA